CTCTCTCATTGCAATCTAGAGGGAAAAAGAATAAAATTATCCTTGCCTTGGCATGGGGTCACTCCAGGAGCTAAGTGTTAAGGCAGAGCTTGCCAAAATAGATCGGATAATAGAAGGAAAAACAAACATCCATGTGTGTATGTGTGCATGTGTGTACAGGTGTGTGTGTGTAATGAGGCATCAGACAGGGCAATGTTCTGTGGATGCCACATCTCTACCAAGCTCTTGTCACTGCAACATTGTCACTGGATCACCCCAGTGATCCAGGCCCCACCACTTGGGAAATGTTTTGGTTTTCCTTTTCTCTTTTTCTTTTCTTTTTTTTTTTTTAAACGAAGTCCATTGCTTCCCTGGACAAAAGCAGACAGACTTTTCAGAAGAAGCACCATTCTGCACCCATACAAACATTATAAGGCTCTCAGCCCTCTCAAGGCCAGATATATTTCCAGTGTGTAAACACCCCCCTTGAATACTTTTTCTCCTCATTACCCCAGGACAGTGGAGAGAGCACTGCCAAGATGCTTAGGCCACAGCTGGTTTATGGGGACTGGCCTTGCTGATCTGGAGTTACAGCTCATTGATACCTTTGAATTACAGAGTTCTATTCAGCTGCTTGTTGAAGAAATTATCCTTCAATGTCAAAGATTTATGGCAGGCATGAGAAAGCTCCTTCTATTAACAAATGCTTTTCAGAGCCAAAGCGCTTGTAAAAAGCAACCTGCATTGGTCTCTGCAAAGCATGACACAGCAGAGTTCCTCCTAGAACAGCATTTGGACCAAATCTCCAGCCATATCCTTCTCAGATCCGTGGACCAGCTAAGTCTTTTAAATAAAGTTTGTGAGGCCTAAATATGCATATTCCTCAAGCAGCTTGAAGCATAACTTCAAAAGTAAAAATTTGGAGTTTTTTTTTTTTTTTTTTTTTTTTTTAAAAAAAAAAAACAAAAACAAAAACATAGATCCCTTATTCTCTGCTGAATAAACTCAACACTACTTCTTCAGCCTCAGCAGCAGAGGTAACACTTCCTGACCAAAACTGTTTTGGGGATGACACATTACCAGAGCCCTAGGTTTGCCACTGAGCATTTCTATCCCTTGCCTTCAGACTCTGTCTTCCACTCTCTAGACAGCAGGGCAGGTGCACAACAGAAAGGGAAGGGTCTGGTTTTACAGCCTCATCTCACCCACAGAGACCAGGACAGACATTTTCATGGAAATCACTAAAATAAACTTTGTAGTTTAGAGCAAACAAATCTATGGCTAAATTCAAGTGAACTGGAGACAAGAAGATACCAATTTTAAGACAACTTTTCCAGGTGAATCATGAGCTACTTCTAGGGACATCAGTGATGCCAGAAGAGGGCTCCCTGGGAAACAGAGAGGTGTATCTTTTAAGACACATGTGTATCCACACCCCATTAGCTGTGAGGTGTTCACAAATCTCCTCAATAATCCCTATCTCCTAGATACCCATCTGCTCCTTCCTACTTCTCCAGGACTCTGAGGCAAGACCTGTTAGAGGGATGTGGTGTCAGCGGTTCCTCCCTCTTGCTGCAGCAGGTCCCAACCCATCAAGGTGCAGAGGGAAGGGCCACCTTTCCCTTGAACCTGGAAATCTAGACACTGAGCTTAAATGCTCTCCATCCCTAAAGCCAGCATTCTCACTCGCTTCACTGTATTTCCTCAGTGTGTAAAGATGGGCTCTGGAGCGACAGGAACTGATCATGTGTCCCAGGGAAGATGCCAAGACGACAAGGCTGTCAAAGGTGCACATTTGTCAGCAATTCCATGTACAGTTTGACAATCCCTTAACTAAACTTTCTGAGGTCAGATGAGTTTCCGAATTCAGATTTTTTTAATTTTACAAAGCTCAGATATGAACAGCCCCAGCAGAGACTGAGGGAGCATCGTATAGACTCATTATTTTATTTCACCAAAACAGGAATATTCATATTAATCTTCTATCAAGTCACATTAGTTATTAAATGAAATCCAGAGTTCTCCAGGATGGGAGCTTGGACACCGTCTGGTTCATTTACCTCCAAGATATATCTAAAGCCAATCCTCCAGGGACAAAAACCCACAGCAAGGAACAGATGAAGGGGCAACTGCCAAAACCCCAGCAGACATTCCCTGACTCAGGAGGCCCATGGCACAGACCAGCAGAGATGCAAACAAGCTTATTTGGATAATCACTGACATAGAAAAAGCCTTCTAAGCTGAGTTTCTCTGGCCTCAGAACCCAAAAGAGAGATGATTCCACAGAGCCTTCCACATTTATAGAATCAGAGTTCCCAGGGCTGTGGCACCCGAGTCCAAAGAGGACATAAATAGTGCATTCAGTCATAGACCATAGCAGGTCCCACATGGCAGCAGCAGACCGGGTTTTCAGAGCCCAATCCCATGTGACTGAGGTTAACTCCATAGGATGTCAGGTAAGTCACACTTTGATCTTCCTGCCTTTCTCTCTGCTCCCTTCAATGCCAGCATTCCCCGGGGTTTCTCCCACCCTGTTCTCTTCTCACTCTACACAGCTCCATGGTTAACTGCATCTACTCCCCTGGCCTCACATACAACCTTTACGCCCTTGACTCCCACACGTCTCAATCACTGGTCCCACCATCTTCTCCAGCTCTAACTCATATTTCCACCTGCCTCTTGGGCATTTCTGGCCAGGCCCATGTGCCGCTCCTGCTGTGCCATAGATAGCTGGTGCACACTGGTATCTGCATGCTTCCCTATATGCCCCTGCCTTGTACTTGGGTTGGTCATGTGACTGGCTCTGACCAATGACATGTAAGCAGAAATGTCACGTGTTTGAGCACCTGGTGTGCCAGTCCCGTGTTCTCTTCCCCTCCATGATGCCAGGACAAGATTTTGGAGAATCAAAACAAACATTGTAGGTCCTGGAGTCACCGCTTAGAAAAAGCCACCGAATTTGTATTGAACTGTCAGAGAAACAAACTTCTATGGTGAGAAATTACTGAGATTTTGGAATTTCAGACAAAGCAGCCAGTGTTAATTTCCCTGATATACCTGCCTTTTCTACCTAGCAAATTCCTGAATTATTACTTCAATTCAAATGCCACCTCTTCTGAAGAGTCTATCTTCCGTGGAAAGTCAGTTACTCTATCCTGTGACCTCCAGTAATTCACGCATACATCCGGCAGAGCAATTCCCTGAATCTACTGCACATTTTTGTGTATTTGGCACTCACATTTGTGAGCTTCCTTTTTCATCTCTGTGTTCTCAGTGCCTCGCAAGTAGCAAACACTGAATGCATTTGATTCAGGGAAGTGAAAATCAGAGAGCTTCCTCATTATGTGACAAGCAAACCAAATCAGCACTTTCCCCCCAAGTCACAATGTTCTTATCATTGTGCTAGGTTCTGTGAGAGGGCCCAAGAAAAGTAAAAAATGCTGTAACCCACCTGTATCTTCAGATCCTTTGCACCCTACAATCTCTCATCTCTATTAAAGGAAAGCTTTCACTTAGAAAGCACATGGTCTTTCCAGGAACTATCAGCTAAAACATCTCACAGAAAGCAAGATCAAAGAGGGGTCTTTTAGTGACAAGATTAAAGTAGAACAGGACTCTCTCTTGGCCCTTTAAGCCTGACTCACCCAAGGCTGCCACAGTTTAGGCCCATGGTTTGCCATTCTGAAATACTGCAGCTGTGTTGCTGTTATTTCTGGTGTGAAAAGAGCTGCAGCAAAAGCACTGCTGCCTTCTCAGGGACCCAGATGTGGAGATGATGGGCCAGCTGTGCAGAGTTACGTCATCACCACTTGGCAAAGCTTCCCAAAGCAAAAGCACAAGACCGTGTCACTGGGCAGGGAACAGAGCAGGGATCTTCTCTTTTAAGATGTAGCAAGTTGGCTACAGTAGTATGTACTGTGAGTAGTTCCAAATCTCTCGATTCTCATAGATATAACTCAGTCCCAGCCCAAGGGAAATGGTGACCATAAATAAACAATGATCAATTATTAATAGAATATTTTGACAATTCCCACATAGTAGCAGTTTACCTAATGCAGGTATGGCTTTGCTTTGGATATTCAGATTACCTATTTAATGTACATTAAACATAAGGTTGGCCCCTGGTATTCACACAAAAATACCCACAACGAAGAGCTGTGGCAAATACCAATGCCACGCCACAGCTTCAGGAGAGCACAAGGAAGCTTCTAGGGCAGATTCCTAGTAAGACATTCAGAGCAGTAAACAAAACAAGGTTAGATTTTGCAGTACATTGCAGGCTAAGACCCACGGACATTAGGTGTCTCTGTTGCCTGTTCATTATAACAGAATATCTAAAACTGGATAATTTATAAAGAAATGGAATTTATTTCTTACAGTTATGGAAGCTGAGAAGTCCAAGGTCAAGGGGCTGCATCTGGGGAAGACCTTTGTGCTGGTGGGAACTCTCTGCAGAGTCCCCAGGTAGCACAGGGCATCACATGGTGAAGAGGCTGAGCATCCTAGCTCAGGTCTTTCTTCTTCTTCTTGTAAAGTCACCAGTCCCACTCCCATAATAATCCATTAATCCGTGAATGGGTTAATCCATTCATGAGGGCAGATCCCTCATGATCCAATCACCTCTTAAAGGCCTCATCTCTCAATAATGCCAATTGGGGATTAAATTTCGATATGAGTTTTGAAGGGGATATTCAACCACAGCAGCAGGAAAGATTAAGAAATATCAAATCATTGGAAATATAGTGTAATGGAAGGGAATATACACTTTGGGAGAGTTGGAATAATACCTTTTGGTGTTAAACAAGTATCACATACAGGAGATATGGGGTACATCAAAAAGAGGGGACACTTAAAGTCATAGCTAAACATAGGCAATTATTCCTGGCTAGTACTTTAGAGGTCACATACCATGAACATGACAATGAATGAGTTCCCCAAATCCCAACCATCCCATGTGTGATCCCATCCGCATACATGGAAAACAAGAAACTGATTGAAAATAGCACTGTCAAGCAACTTACCTTGTATGAAGATCCTATTCCAGTAGGTTTTCCCAACCTCATTGCCCCCCAGAAACACCAGGTTGGACAGGATCAGCATCGATGTGGAACAAGACGCAAGGGCAGCGTGGAATCGATGGCGAGCTTGTGGGGAGAAGTATCGGGTCTGTGAGAAAAATGGCAAGAAGGCGTCTCATGACAAGGGTGGAAAAAATGGGGCTAAGACATCATCCAGCTTTCTCTGTCACCAGCCCAGGGTGCCTCCCCACAGAGCCCGAACCAGGTCATTATTTAAACAGCTCTCAAAACTTCAATTCCAGTCTGGGTGTGGTGGCTCATGCCTATAATCTCACACTTTGGGAGGCTAAGGTGGGAGGATCACTTGGGCCCAGGAGTTTAAGACCAGCCTAGGCAACATAGTGATATACCATCTCTACAAAAACAATTTAAAACTTAGCTGGGCCCGGTGGCATGTGCCTGTAGTCCCAGCTACTTGGGAGGCTAAGGTGGGAGGACTGCTTGAGCCCAGGAGTTTGAAGCTGCAGTGAGCCATGATCACACCACAGGACCCCAGTCTGGGTGACAGAACAAGATCCTGTCTCAAAACAAAACAAAACCGTACTCCTGCAACATGTTCATTCTACCCTGAGGAAAGAAGTGACATACCCCAAGTTGTTTCTTTGAGGGAGAACAAAATGTGAGGGCTTCCCTCTGACATGTGGAATACAAGCACTGAAACCAGTTAGGATTTAGCGCCCTCCCTCCTCCACTTGTTTTCTGCATGTAAACCTACAGGTGCAAGAACTTCAAACTGCTGTCTGTGATAACTAGTATATATAGCTCCACGGAATTAGGTCAAGATCAGCATGATCCTCTGGGCCAGTTACAATGATCCTGGGAAGCCAGCCAACCGCCCCCTAAACCTGACATGCTATTAAGAGTAATCTCCTAACAAGGGTGTAGGACAATCAGTGTGAGCCGAGCCTACTGCTGGAATCAGAGCTCAGGCCCACACTTCACCCGCGGCACACATTGGCACTGAGGATGAAGTGTATCGGCATGCCTGAAATACTCAAGGCTGGAGGGATGCTTTACGGCATCACAATAAAGAATTCCACTTGTCCTTCCTAGTTCTTCATTGTACTTCTCCTTTTAAGATTTTCCTGGAGATTTCACAAAGCAAACAAAGCCTTTATTCTTCAGCACTGACTGTTCTGGGAGCCCCTCCGAAGTGAGGTCGTGGTGCAGCACTTGCACGGGGACCGCCCCGAGGGACTGTGTGTTCAGAATGAGAACCAGATACAGCACAGCAGGGGCTCAGGGTATCTGATAAGCACCTCCACCTAATCCACAGACACAGAGAAAGAGGGAGCAAAGGGTCTGGAGATATTTCCCAAATATCCTCCAGAAACCCACACATCTCTAGGGTCACATGCATCCTAATTTCAGCTGTGTTCCAATTACAAACAGAACTCGGAATAACTCAATGACAGCAGCCGATGCAATTCATGACAGGCAAAAAGGACTAAATTGGAGGGCGAGTCTTCAGCAAGAGGCTTACTTATTATGGCGGCCCTGCTGTGAATCTCCTGTGACTGCTTTGGAAGTCATGGTCAGTGTCCTCTCCATCTAGAGAAATGAATTTCTGATTCCTCCTGTTGTCTCCTGCCAGCCCCAGGGTCTCTTCTTAACTCTCAGATCTGGCGGCTACCCTCTATCTCCCCATCTTCCCACCCACGGCTCTCTGCTCCAACATCACTTTGGAACGTGCTTTTACTGCTGGCAAACACAAGTGTGGCCCGCTCACAGAGACGCTGTACGGTGGACAGTGAGATGTCTGCCTGACCATGGTTGTTCTGGAATGCTCTCCAGTGATGCAGAGTGTCCCTACTTAGAGGCCACCAGGCAAGATTACCTCTAGTCTTGCCCCTGCTCTAGGAGGCCACAGGCACGTACAGGAGGACACTGTCAGACAAGACCTGGTACAAGATAACTACATGGTGTGAAAACTGTTAATGAGAGAGAAATGGGGAAGGAGCAGGCTTATTATTCAGCACTCTTCACCTCTGAGAATAATGGGACATTAATCTACCACTTTCTGCATTCTAAAGCAGAGGAAGATATTTTCTGGGTATTACTGACTCAATTAGCAGTAACTAGGAAGGCAGGGTGAGAGGAAGTTGGGAGACGGGGGAAGATCCAAAATGGATTAAGAAAATATGAATTGTCTTAATTGACATAAGTGCATCCAAGTAATTCTCTCCAGATACTGCGGTTACTAACGAGACATTTGATTCCTAAGGGATCTGCTGAGTCTGACACTCCACCACTTCTGTTCTAACCACATCAGTCTCCCCCAGCCTCACATCCTGAGAAGGGAACACAAAGGCACTGTGTCATCTTTCCTTTGTTAACGTCAACTACTGAGAGTGCACATAGCTTGTTAAGCTAAGTGGCTCTTCTTTTGTGGGAAGTGACTACAATTATTAAATAATCAACAGAGAGGTACTGAGAGAGGAAGACTCTCTTTGCATGGGGCTGCTAAGCAGGACTGTGGAGCTGACACTTGGGGCGGGGTAAGGACTGGCCACAGCAGGAGGAGGAGCTGAGGGCCAAGGGAGGTGAGAACAGACAGTGTGTCTTGGAGGCATAAGGCTCCTCAGTCTAGCCCTGAGGCCCCAGCTCCTACAGTTCTTCCTTTGATTCTGTGATTACCCCATATCTTTCCAAGCTGCATGGTTCCATGAGTTCCTGTATCTACTTAGGATAAAAAAAAGTCAAAATCATACCAACTGTGAAGGAGCTGCTGATCTCAGAGATAGGAAGGGAGGGGGGGCAGCTAAAATCTGGAACGAATGACTACAATCCAATTTTTATAAATGTTTTTTAAAAATTTGGAAATTAAAAAAAAATTTTAAATAAGCAAGAATGTTAAAAAGCACAGCCTGTTAGAATCAAACTAAAAGGATTTAAAGGAGAAATCAAGATGTCCATAGGCAATTCTTAATTATCCCCCAGGGTGAGTGGGTGGGAGACAAAATAGATGATGATCAAGGAATCCAAAAACCTACTTTTAACCAACAGCCTCATCCTCTGACAAAACTAGCCATGCCAATAAGCAGCAAAATGAACAGAGCGTTGCTCCTTTTCATGGTGAAACGGTAGGGAAAAAGAATGATGGGCCACAGGAAGGAAAAGGGGGTGGGATCTGTCCGATTCATCCACAAGAGGGTAATAACTAACAACAAAGGGGACAGGAGTCTCAGCTGCAATTCATCTCTCCTCTTTGCATTCTCTGGACACTTTGGAAGGTGATGGTTTTGACATCAGGGATCTCTCTCTCCACCTTGGGAACCCCCTGGCTCAGCCACTGGTTTATAGGAGCTCTAGGGGTAAGTTCCCAGGAGGAAACAGGTCATGTGGACAAAACTAGAAGGTATATTCCCTTGGACCAGGCAGCTACATCAATAAATTTAACTTTCGGAATCTCTAAGGCCACAGGGCCAAAGCCTCCACTTTAAAGACATTTTCTCTTATACTCTCTTTTCCGTAGTCCTACAGCAATTACCCCGGTGGTCCTTCATCACCAGGATGCAGGCCTCTCACAAGTGGGAGGCATGCCTCAAGTGTTAAGTCACTATCCTCATGGCTTAGGTACTTGAAAACTCCCTTGACAAGAGAACTCATTATGAAGAATTGTAAACGAATGGGGGAATATCAGAAGACAGTGAAAAGCCATCAGGTATGACAAAGAGAATTGCCAAGTTGATCAGCTAAGGCAATAATGGACAAATAGAATATGATTTTCATTAATATGAATTTATCAGGACAAAAGAGAGCTCTGGTCTGGTCCTGGTCTCTTCTCAGAGCATAGATTGGTCTGTAGCAATCTGATTTTCTGGCAGCAAAAAACTGGGAGTGGCACTATCCCCAGGAGATGTCTGAAAAGTTGCTGGGCATTTTTGGTTGTCTCAATGACTACAAGGCAATATGACATTTGGTGGGCAGGGGCCAGGGATGATAAGCACACTGCAATGTGCAGGACGGCCCTGTCCTGCCCAAAAGGTCAGCAGAGCCCTGTTGAGAAAGGGTGAATTGTTCTCCTCCACATTCATCACAGAGCAGAGTTCTCACTTGGTCTATGTGGGCATCAGGAGCAATGCCAAAAATGTGCCCCCTTTCCTTTGGGATCCAGAGAAATGCATCCCAGTGCAGGGAATGTTCCCTCACAGCATTCGACCACTAGGCCCCTCCTATCCTGCCCACCACCTGGCATCATCTGGAGAGTAAGGAGGAGCCTCCTGTGCCCCCGGCCACAGACAGGCAAGGTGGAGCCACCAATTCCAAGCTTCCTCCCCTGACATTCCTGAAATCCAGAAGAAAAAGGAAGAATGGGAGGTGGGGCACTTTAGAATCACTTTGTTCTCAGGCAGGGGTGACCAGTTCTCTACATGGTCTCTACGGTACATGACAGAGGGCTGGGTCGGGCAGTTTCTCTTCCTGTGAATGTGAATATACCCACTCTTCAGGTGCAAGGGCAGGTGCTAGACTTTTGGCCTGGTTACAGCAAGCCCCTCAGAACACTCAGAGCACAGGCCTAGGGCTAACCTCCAATTCCTCTGAGTAGTTTGCTTGTGATCCAAGAGACTGACATGGGATGGGGGAACGTCATGACAACACTCAGCTATGGCAACACTTGACTTTAAACTTCCCTCTCAGACACTGACTTCCAATGGGAAGGACTGCAACCCAAACCAACTAAACCTTAGGGCTAAACTAAACTTATGTCAAACTCCTTTGTACTTCCAGGTGTGAGGTGTCTGTGGCTTCCTGTGTATATTCAAATCTCCATGGCAACTCATCCATCTTTTCCAGGCAGCATCCTTTCCCTGGAAATCACAGGATTGGTGGGGGCAAACAAGCCAGGGATGGGGGGCTGCAGGAATGTGGGTCAAAAGCAAAGCTAGAAACATACGTGGAGATGGGAGACAGATGGCACAGTTGGGCTGGAGGTTGTGGGCTTGCCAGCCCCTCACTCATCCACGGACAGGCTGCATGTGGGGCTGAGATGGGAGGTGGGGACAGGCTGAGCATCTGGAGGAGCAGATGGCCGGAGGAATGGCTGCTGGAGACTGTGACAAAGGCTTGGCAAGTGGGACCTGATGC